TTCCTCCTGCACCCCACGATAGGCAACCACTAATCTACTTTCTGTCTCAAGACATTTCATATAAATGGGATCATACAATGTGTGATCTTTTGTGTCTGGCTTCTATCACTTGGAATGTTTTTGAAGTTCATCCATGTTGTGGTATATTTTGGTAATTCATTTTTTTATTGCTGAATCATATTCCATTGTATAGAGCAGTCATCTATTTCCTCTTGGGATTTCTCACTGAAAAGCTATATCCAAAATAAACCCTTTTAAAGAGTTTTATTGTACATTATTACTGTGTGTGTGAATGTGTGTGTGTGTGAATGTGTGCTTCTTTGTGTGCTTGCACATACACACATGCTCGCTGTAGGCCGACCATAGGAGAGGGGTGGGAAGGCCAATAGTCCAATGGTCTTAACGTGCTTTGAATGCCGTAGAAAGTTATTTCAGATTGACTTAGTAGCAGCACAGAATGGGAGGCATTGTGGCTAGGGTTAGGAGCATAGACTCTGGAATTAAAAGACCTGGATCAGTTCCTGGCACTGCTTCTGGCCAGGTCTCTAGGTGGGAAAGCCATTTTGCCTTTCTGAAAATGGGAGTAATAGCTTCTGTAAGAGAGTTCAGGGATACTTAAGAGAAAATATATGTGAAGCCCTTGGCAACACATATCATAAGTACTCAGTAATAGGGAACTCCTGTTTCTATTGATGTGATTATTCATCATATTTATCCTCATCATATAAAAGTATCTGGGCATGCATCTATGTTGGCCTGAATTGTCTTAACGAACATGGCCAATTTTTATAAAGTCAACTTCTGAAAGTGGTAGCACCCAACCTTTTTCCCCTGTGATTTTTTTTTTGAAATTAGCTTTCAGAACTCATTTATGTGCAGAGGTTAATATGGTGCCTAAATATGTAAATACCAGAATAATACTTGTGTTACTGAACCAGGTCTGTTTGCCCAAGATGCCGCAAGCCAAACACTGAGACTCGGGTTGGTTTACAGCCAAGAGTTTATTCATAAGGCAGCCAAGCGAGGAGATGGAAGAACAAGTCTCAGGTCCACCTCCCTGAAGGCAAGGAGGTTGGGGTATTTATGGGATAAGCAAGAGTGGTCTTAGGCATAGAGAAAGGTGATTCAAGGCAGAGAAAAGATGAGGTAATCCTTGTTCTGCACAGGCACATTTGGGTTACATGCTTCTTCGTATTCAAACTAGAGTTGCTTAGCTTGGTCTGAGGGTAGAGTTTTCTGGCCCTCTGATGTTAAAAGGCCATTTACTGAACATCTGTGCAGCCCCAGTTTTAGGGTCAGTGGTCCCAAGCAGCCCCCAGCCAGCTTACACTGGGCAGGAGCAGACTCCAAGTTCCTTTAAAACAACTGGGGCTGTGTGAAAACTGGGAAGGCCTGCAGTTATAGAAGAGGCAAAAAGAGAAAGAAAAAAACTAAGGTGAACTTAATCAATGAAAGCAGTTTACGAGCAAAGGGTTTTTAACAAGCTGTTCCCTTATCTTTTGTTCTGTAAGACAAGTTCAAGACTTTCTCTTAGTTATCAACTTCTGTTAACTCTTTGGGGCACAGTTTCACTTGTCAGGATCATCCTGTATTTTTCCAAAAGGTTCACAGTCCCATATCTACAATCAAAACTCTAAAATATCTGAAAACCAAAAGTTTTTTTTTAACACATTTGGTGGTAAAACCTGACCTGAACAGATGTGTTGCTCTTTACAGCTCTTTTTTATCCCACTTGGTATGAACAGTCATAGCTTTACTGCAGATATATTAAAGTGTTGGGTTTTGGGGTGCTGCAGATCCCACTGGTTATATATTAATAGATTACCCTGTGATCTTAAGGCCTGTATAGAGGGAAGAATAGGTGCCTATTTATTTTAAACAATATATAGGATGTTTTCTACAAGACTTACCTCAAATAGGCTTAAATAATAAAGGATATTTATTGGGTAATTAAGATGACCCCAGACTACTTTGGGTAAGGTCTTCACTGATCCCTAATTAACAAATCCATGAATTTCAATTTTACCTTTCAGGCCAGTAGTAGAAGTCACTTAACTTGTGAGTACCTGAAGCCCAACAATCCAAGGTGGTCTCAGCTAGGTTTTATTTCTGCTTATCATGGATATGTGCTGGTGTATGGGGTTTGTAAAGATCTTCAGAGGTGTCCTTGAGGAGGGTATCCGTAAGGCTGTTTGAACTTGACTCTATCATTGCCACTCATCTACCACTTAGGCTGTCTCCGGGCAAGCGTCCCTCTACAGTACTTGTTATATTGTGTTGTAACTTTATCTGTGTGCCTCTCCACTACATTAAGAGATCCTTCAGTGTGTAGAGGTTGTGTCTTAACTCATTTTTATCCCCAGTGCCTTGCTTAGTGCCTGGAAAGTACTGCTCAGTAAATGTTGGTTCAGTGCCTGAACAAATGAGTATTAGGTTGGCCCTGACTAAAGTCATTTCACAGTGACTAAACTGAGGAGGAAGAAGAGGGGGAGGGGGATGTGGAGCAGGCTGGGGTGTGGGGTGTCATTGTTTGCAGAGAGAACTGTCCTGTCCTTAATGTATCCCAAGTCTAGCAATGAATCACACATATATTGAGTGTCCAATAAAAGATTTGAAAGAATGAATGAAAAGATAAGTCCTCTAGTTTACCCCTAGTCCTAAAATATTTAAAGTGTAAAGTGTATATGTTTTTAGAAACAGACGTTCTTATTGCCTAGAACTAGAACCTCAAATCGTGGTCCCCTTCCATCCCCTTTCTTACTTCATCGCAAGGCTGCAGCGAGTTTGGTTAGCATCCCTTCAGATCTCTACCGAACCTTCTAACTGCAGTCAAAGCTGCTACCTGGGCCACAAGTCCCCGTCTTCTACCATCTGTCTCACCTGCTTTGGGTCTCTAACATCCCTCACTGTGACAACTTCCTCACTGTGCAAGCCTGTTCCCTTCTCAGGGACTTAGTCGTTCTCTCCTTGTAAGGAGAGGCAGAGCTCTGTGATCTTGGCGGTCTCTCTGTTCAGATCAGAGCCCATCCCTGCCCTCCTAACCTCAGACAGCTCTGTCACAGGTTACCCAAAGCTCACCTCATTCTGGTCTGCAGCCCTTTTCTCTTTGGGGTTTAGTAACCCTCCTGGTAGATAGGACCAGACTCTAAGTTTTTTCTGATATTTATATACTAAAAGCAAAAAGTACTGCGTTTTGTCGCTAATAAAAATTTGTCCATGATGAAGTATTTCTCTCAAGTATTTGAGTTAATACCTTTAACATTGATGTGCAGTTTTAGGAAGTTGTAAAGAAATGAGATCAAGAAGAGTTAGTACTGTTTACCCATTGAAAAGGACTGGAGACTGGTTTTTTGTTTTTTCCTTTGTGAAATAAATGCATGGTGAATAATAGTTAAAGGAAAGTCCTTAATTAGAATTTGGGTGTCTCTGTTCCAGTTTTAATTGATCCAGTATGTTGAAAGAAAAGACTATCAAATGGGACATAGTATTTAAGTAATACATTTCCAATTGTGACAGACACATTATTTATGGATATTTTCTCTTTAGGAAATGTAAATGTTAGAACCAATTGCAGGAGAGATGGTATCAGCTACCACAAATTCCTGAGTTCTTTGTGACTCTGCTTAGCTTTATTTAAGGAGATTTTTATCTACTGTGAGGCTTATTTAGTAGGCGCTTTTAGAGTCCAATGTCATAGAAGGTTAATTTTAAACTTTTATGTAGAGCCTTCTTTAGCAATGAAAATCTTTTACAGAATAAGGCTTAAACTTTTAATGTTTTTGGCTAGCTTATTTAAAAGATGAATTTAGATTGGCACCAAGCCAGATCTGAGGGCTAGAAGCTCAGCGATTTGCTGGCTATCATAAAGCTGTAGTACAGTTTTCTTTTTGTTTGGTTTACTCTTTACCTTCAAGTAGACCTCATGTGGTCTGGTCACTGTGTTCTGAGCAGAACATTATGCATTAATTAAAGCTCCACTGTGACTTAATTTTTACAGACTTAAATTTTAGCATAACTTAATTTCAGGGAGGAAAGGAGAGCTTTAAATCCCTGATCATGAAAATTCATTTTGAGATTTTTTTTTTTAATTATTTTTTGGCTGCACTGGGTCTTCGTTGCTGCGCGCGGTCTTTTTCTAGTTGAGGCAAGTGGGGGCTACTCTTCCTTGCGGTGCGCGGACTTCTCATTGTGGTGGCTTCTCTTGTTGCGGAGCATGGGCTCTAGGTGTGTGGGCTTCAGTAGTTGTGGTTCATGGGCTCTAGAGTGCAGGCTCAGTAGTTGCGGCGCACAGGCTTAGTTGCTCCGCGTTATGTGGGATCTTCCCGGACCAGGGATTGAACCCGTGTCCCCTGCATTGGCAGGCGGATTCTTAACCACTGCGCCACCAGGGAAGTCCCATTTTGAGATTTTTTAAAAACGCCCATCCAAGGAAAGAAACCTCAAGTAGGTGTCTTTCTATAACCTACCTTTTAGTGTTTCTTGTTTATAATTTTTCTTTGGATTTGATTCATTCTGATCCTTGAAAATATGCAGAGGATGATATCTTAATTTTGGAATTATTATTCTTGGTTGAAACTGGAATTATAGGGGTTTTTATGGCATTTCCTCTAATATATTACTGGTGGGGGCGGGGCAGAAGAGCCATGTTTTTAAGGTTTTTAGGAAGGAAAACCATTTAATGACAGAATTGTACAAACCAGGTTTTATTTTTATGAGGCCTGCTTTACTAAGTTAAATTCTTTGGCTCTACTTTTGAGCTGTCAGATAGTTACTTGCAGCCATTTCTTATAGCTCAATGGTGAAAGCTAAGTGAATTTTACCTGATTGAGTTGTTTAAAAATAACATAAGGAATTGATGCCTTTCCAGTGTTTTCCATATCAGTTAATTCTGTATAATTGACGTCTTAGTCTAAAGTGCTCTTGCATTACGAAAAGGGAGGTTGTAAAACTTTTCAAAGGAACTCAGTTTAATTTATAGTATTTTCACCATTTTTTGGCAGGACTTTGTGTCATTGTATCAGGATTTCGAAAACTTCTATACAAGGAACCTCTACATGAGGATTAGAGACAACTGGAATCGGCCCATCTGCAGTGTGCCTGGGGCCAGGGTGGACATCATGGAGAGACAGTCTCATGATTACAACTGGTCGTTCAAGTGAGTTGGGAAATTGTTTCTTGACAACAAAAAAAGAATTTCTTCACTTCAGAAGATATTGTATTGCAATTTGAATATTCTGTCAAAATAGGAGTGGAAGCTGAGAGTACAGTACAGCATGATTAGTGTCCTTTCATTTTGTTCATTGTTACTGAGATTTTTAAAAAAAAATAAATTTATGTATTTATTTAATTTTGGCTGCGTTGGGTCTTCGTTGTTGCACGTGGGCTTTCTCTGGTTGCGGTGAGCGGCGGCTACTCTTTGTGGCAGTGCGCAGGCTTCTCACTGTGGTGGCTTCTCTTGTTGTGGAGCATGGGCTCTAGGTGGCTTCAGTAATTGTGGCGCGAGGGCTCAGTAGTTGTGGCTCACGGGCTCTAGAGTGCAGGCTCAGTAGTTGTGGTGCACGGGCTTAGTTGCTCCGCGTCATGTGGAATCTTCCCGGACCAGGGCTTGAACCCATGTCCCCTGCGTTGGCAGGCAGATTCTTAACCACTGTGCTACCAGGGAAGTCCTGAGATTTTTTTAAATGCATTTTGCTACTACATTTGTCACTGTGTTGGATTATAGTTGAAAACAAAATTTGACTTATTAAAAAAACTCACACAAAGAAAAAACATCCTTTCTGTTATGCCATTTACCAGAATCAGTTATCTGGATTTATTTATGGATATTTTGATTTCTCAAATGATTCAAGGAGTATTTTTACTTAAATGGATTGTATTGTTTAGAAAACTTTTTATATTCGTAAGATTTTGTTTTGTTTATATTGTACAGGCATTACATGGTTATATGGTCATTATTTTTTTAAAAAGACAAGTAATACAAATAAACTGAAGGTCCCTATGACAGCTAACCACTATCCTTTTTCAAATCCACTTCGCCTCAAATCCTCACTTCCCAGAGGTGACCATTGTTATCAGTTTATTGTATATTATTCCTCCATATGTTTTCTATGGCGTGTGTGTATATATATATATATATATATATATATATATATATAGTGTACTACTGGGGTTGCCCACAGGTAGTTTTTGATTTACAAAAATGGGATCATACTATGAAAATTATTTTATATCTCGCTTTTTTTACTTGCTAACATACCGGTAACAGCATCCTTCTTGTGTACGTTCACAGCAAGCTCACTATTTGTAGTGGCTGCTTAGTGTTCTACAGTATAGATACATATAATGTAGAGTAGATTGGGCTACGTCATCCTGTGTTAAAAACCCCCAAAACCTCAGCGTTGAGACAGAAGCAGTTTATTTCTTGTCCCTACTTCATGTCCATCTTAGATCGGTGGAGCCTCTGAACCATGTTGTCCTCACTTGGGGTCCCAGGCTGACTGAGCTTCCACCATGTCGAAAGTCACTGGTCTGTGTGCCTGGGAAAGGGACACAGTAGACAAATTGTGTAGTGACTCGTAAAGGATCCTTAAGTGTATATCCTTTTATATGTGTGTAGGAATTGCTGAGTCAAAGATATGTATATCTTTTAATAGAGGATTACTGTCAAACTGCCCTCCAAAGAAAGGTACTGACTGATATTCTTATCTACAGCGTATGAGAGTGTCCTGGCCAACACTGGATGTAGTCCATTTTTATTTTTATTTATTTATTTTAAAAAATTTTTAAAAATGTTTTTTGGCTTTGCCTCATGGCTTGCAGGATCTTAGTTCCCTGACCAGGGATTGAACCAGGGCCACAGAAGTGAAAGCGCTGAGTTCTAACCATTGGACTGCCAGGGAATTCCCATGATATGGTCAGTTTTTAAACATCCCTATTGATAAGTAAAAACTGGTATTTTGTTTTAACTTCCGTCTTCCTAATTGGTAGTGAGTTTGAGTTGCTTTTCATCTAGACTATATTCTCTCTACTTCCTATAGATGGTGCTTCCTTTTGTATTATCAATAAGTTTATTATCACATGTATTTGATTTGCTTTTGAGTTTCATGAACTTTTATGCTATTGAAATACAGGTACACAGGGAATGTAATTAAAGATGTTATAAACATGGGTTCCTACAACTATCTTGGGTTTGCACGGAATACTGGACCATGTCAAGAGGCAGCTGCCAAAGTCCTGGAGGAATATGGAGTTGGAGTGTGCAGCACTCGGCAGGAAATTGGTAAGTGTAGGTTCTGTTTGGCCAGCTGATGTTCTTATTCTTGACTTTTTTACTCAGGAGGGAATAATACTGAGATAGAGCTAGAATACTGTATAGAGCATCCAAATACATACTTTCCCATGTAGTTTAGATCAGGTAAAAAGAATGCTTTATTTTTCTGAAGTGATGGATGATTTTAATGCTTTCAGTGTGTTTTGAGATATATTTACCTTTTCCATTATGTTATACTTACAGAACATCTCTAGAAAAGTTCCATTAAGTATTTGTTTCATTTATAACTTTAATGTTGACTTTATTGGCTTTTGCAAATGATAGTGGCTGAGAGTACTGCTTACTAGTACTGAGCTCATGGGCATATGAGCATTAATCTGCTTCCATACTGGTAAATTGGGGCTAATAATAATTCCTACACTATAGGGGTGTTTCAAGAATTAAGTAAGCTAATTCATGTAAAGTGCTTGTAACATGGTAAACCCTCAATAAACATTAACTCTTTTATTATTATTACAAGTCTATAAAATGTGAAAGTGAACAGATTTCTACAAAGAGATTTATTTAAGTTCAAAGGAGGATTCCTAATTTTTCCATTTTGTTCAAGAGAACTGATAACCATAAAAGTTATAAGGCAACTTTCTGGATGTTTATTACTGTGAATCACCCCAAAACTGAGTAGATTAAAACAAGAATTCATTATTATTTCACGTGGGTCTATCCCCAGTGATGTGGTTAAGGGAGCATTGTGCAGTGACGACATAGAGTAATCATACCTTACATCTTTTTTTAAAGGATACTTTTAAAATTTTATTTATTTACTTTTGGCTGCATTGGGTCTTCGTTGCTGTACACGAGCTTGCTCTAGTTGTGGTGAGCGGGGGCTACTCTTCGCTGCGGTGCGTGGGCTTCTCACTACAGTGGCTTCTCGTGGTGGAGCACAGGCTCTAGGTGTGTGGGCTTCAGTAGTTGTGGCACGTGGGCTCAGTAGTTGTGACTTACGGGGTCTAGAGCGCAGGCTCAGTAGTTGTGGCGCACAGGCTTAGTTGCTCCATGGGATGTGGGATCTTCCCGGGCCAGGGCTTGAACCCGTGTCCCCTGCATTGGCAGGCGGATTGTTAACCACTGTGCCACCAGGGAAGCCCACCTTATGTCTTTACAGCGCTTTATATTGTATAAATTTCTTGAACATCTTATCCCTTCTGACCTTTACAACAATGTCATAGGGTAGATAGAGCAAATATTATTATTGGTATTTAACAGATAAGAAACAGGCCCAGAGAGGATAAATGACTTGCTTAAGCTTTAAGGACACATAGTATCCACGTTCAGCAGTCTTCTTTCTCTGCTTCTTTTCTCTCTGCATGCAGCCATTATCATTAATCAGTGTTGTTCGGTCCTTAAGGATTTGAGCACTTGATGTAAAATTTGAGCATTTGATGTAAAATCATAATACAAAGTGAGGGAAGGTGTTTTTTAACTTGGCTTTTGCTACATAACAGATCATTCCAAAACTTAGTGGCTTAAAACAGAAACATGTACTTATTTGCTTGTAATTCTGTAATTTGGAAAGGACTTGACATTTTATCTCGGCTCCATGTGGAGTTAGGTGGAGCATTATGACCGACGATAGAGTATCCAAGATAGTGTCACTTACATGTCTGGCGCCTCAGCTGAATGGTGAGCCCTGCCCCTTCCTTCCATAGTCCCTCATCCTCCAGAGCCCCTCCCTCCCTGTCCACATGATCTGTCTTTACAACAGGCTAGTTAGACTGTTTTACATGGCAGCTGACTTCAAATGTATAAAAGCAGATGCTGCCAGTCCCCTTAAGGCATAGACTTGGAACCAGCATGTGTGAACAGGAATGGGAAAAATTGTTGGCAACCCTTTTTATAGAAATGCCACCACAGGTGCTGCATCTGATTTTATTCAACTATTGTATTCTTTATGAGCCTTTACTCTTCATAATACTGACTCCTTCATAGACCTTAGTCTGAAAAGGTTATAACACATAGACTGTGATTTCTTTTTATAAAGTAATGAGTAATTCTTAGATTTGAGGTTTGGTGGTATTGACTTCATTAACTTCTTCACACAGGAAACCTGGACAAGCATGAAGAACTAGAGAAGCTTGTGGCAAGTTTCTTGGGAGTGGAAGCTGCTATGACATATGGCATGGGATTTGCAACAAACTCAATGAGCATTCCTGCTCTTGTTAGCAAAGTAAGATTTAGTCTGTCGTTTATGAAAACTCCCTCGTATCTTTTGTTTTGTAAGGCATTCAGGCAAGCCAGAAGCTATTGTAAACTTTAAACATAGTTTACCCAAAGATATTTCTATCATAAAATTTTATATAATTTGTGTATAAGTGTATCCCATGGAGACTTTTATCAGTTGAAGCTTTTTCTCTGGAACCCATGATCTTTTCTCCTTCCATTAGATGGCTCTTGCCTTCTTCGTTTCGTACAGTTGTAAAGGGATTCTCATAAATAAATTCTCATAAAAGAGTAAAATTATGGAAGAAAGGATGTTTAGTTTGGAAATTATTTATCAGGTGGTTTTTTCTAATAGAAAAATATGAAAATATGTAGGCCCCTAATACTTGTTCTCACTGTAATGCATGTTGTTCAGAGATATATGGGCCAATTATGTGTGTGTATATATATATATATATATATATATATATATATATATATAATATAGGTAATAATATAGGTTAAAAGTAATAATATAGGTAAATAATAAGTTAAAAGTAATATATATGTATGTATCTTATTTTCTGTGGGTAGAGTTTGTGAGGGGACAGTGGAAGAGATAAAAGATAAGACACCTTGTAAATCACATTTTAACAGATTGACACTATCAACTTGAAAGGGCCCTCAAGGGCTGGCCCTACACATCTCATTTTAACATTGATATCTAGGCATGGTATATTGAAATATCAGTGTATTAATGAGCAGAAGACCTGACATTTTTTTGGTTGGTTATATGGTCAGATTTAGCTGTGTGACCATGAGCATGTCACAACCTTTCTGAGCCTCAAATTTTCCTTTGTGAAATGAGGTACTTGGACTACGTTAACATACATATATGATTCCTCAAGGAATAGATGGGACAAATAGAAAACAAAAAGCAAGAGAAGAGATTTAAACACAACTGTATTGATATCATATTAAATACGAATGGTTTATATATTACAATTAGAAGATAGAGATTGTCAGACTAGATAAAATTAAATAGGCTTCCACCAGAGACCTACTTTAAATTTAAAGACACAGGGAATTCCCGGGTCCAGTGATTAGGACTCAGTGCTTTCACTGCTGTGAGCCCAGGTTCAATCCCTATTTGGGTAACTAAGATCCTGCAAGCTACACGGCATGGCCAAAATTTAAAAAAAAAAAAAATTGAAGACACAGGTTAAAAGTAAAAGGATGGGAAAAGTTATAGCATGTAAACAGTAATAATGATTTATATAATATTTTATTATAATATAATAAATTAATAAATATAATATTAATATAATAATATAAACAAAGATTTCAGAGCAAATTGATAACTTTGCCATTGTGCAGGCTTTCCTTAATAAGATATAATTATTAATGATTTTAGCATTTTGTAGTTTGGCTAACTAAACCTTTCCCCCCAGCTTCTTACCTTCCTTTGCTTGTGGTTTTGCAGGGTTGCCTGATTCTGAGTGATGAGCTGAACCATGCATCATTGGTTCTAGGAGCCAGACTCTCAGGAGCAACCATTCGAGTCTTCAAGCACAACAGTGAGTTTGTTATGGAATTTACTGCTGGCTTTAGTGTGTAATATTCTTTGGGTTAGTGGCAGTGTTAACATTAATTACATTAATAGGAAATATAAGTGAAACTGAAGTAGCAACATTTAAAATGTCTTTCTGGTCCAGTCTTTTAAAAGTTATTATCTTTCTCATTGGAATAAAAATAAAGGCTGAAGGAAGCCTTTTGGTACAAAGTAAAAACATTGAAAAAAAAATTGTTCTTTTTTTTTACTTTGAACTTTTTCATCTTCCTTGTTTACAGGTCACTTGTTTAGTATGCATTTGCTAGATGCCTGTGGTATGTCTTGCCATAACATTAGGGGTATTAAGGTGAATAAAGCAAGCTCCCTGATCTCAATGATCTCTGACTGGTTGCTAAAGAGACTATAGGCAAACCAGTAGTTAGAATACAACAGGCGAATACTGAAATGCAGACATGAACAGGTGCTGTGGAAGCACGGAGAAGAGTGGCACTAAGCCAGACCTTTCTCTCTAAATGGAAATATCTTTGTGCATTATTAAAATAATCACAATAAAAATGCATAACTTTCCAAGTTAAAACCCTCATGTAGAGAGGAAAGATTACCAAGCTGTTCACTATCATCATTTACCAAACTGTGTACATGTATAGACAAAAGTCTAAAAGAATATACTCCCAAATGTTAGGTCTGTGCCTCTGGATGGGAGGTTTATGGATGGTAATAACTTTCTTCCTTTTGTCTTTGTTTTGTCTAAAATGTTTTACAGTGAGAAAGATATATACAGTATTTTGTTTTATGTAAATGGGATTTATTAAACACTCTTGTGTGACTTGCTGTTTTCTTGCAACACATCGGGAACTTTGGCAGTACGTGTGACTGTCCTCCTCCCGTAATGCCAGGGTGGCAGGCAGTGCCCTCATTCAGTCCATCCCTCAGTTTGAACATCCAGGTTGTTTCTGAATTTTTCTGCTAGAAACAGTACTACTTAACATTCACATTCTTGCTCACTGGTCTGATTAGTACCTTAGGATAAATTCCCAGCAGTCTTTAGAATGCATGGTTAAAATGGTATAAATTTGCTATGCTTTTCCAGATTGCCTCCAAATATGGTACAAATTTTTACACAACAACGCAACTCAAAAACAGTGACTGTTTCTACTCACAGGCCAACATAGGCCATTATGCATCATTTAAAATCTTTTCTAATCTAATAAGTCCAATAACATTAATTTTTATTGCTTTGATTATTAAGTGTTGAGCAACTTTTTTTTTTTTTTTTTTTTTTTGTGGTACGCGGGCCTCTCACTGTTGTGGCCTCTCCCGTTGCGGAGCACAGGCTCCGGACGCACAGGCTCAGTGGCCATGGCTCACGGGCCTAGCCACTCCGCGGCATGTGGGATCTTCCCAGACCGGGGCATGAACCCGTGTCCCCTGCATCGGCAGGCGGACTCTCAACCGCTGTGCTACCAGGGAAGCCCCAAACTGTTTCTCTTTTTACTGATTATAAGAGCCCTTTATGTTGCAATATTTTTTATTTTTAACTTTGTTTTTAGTGTCTTGCTGTGCACTTATTAAAATGTTTATGTTGTCACATTTATTGTCTTAAGACTTTTATTTGGATTTTGTGTAATGGCCTTCCCCATTTTTATCTTTAGTTTACATGGGATTTGGAGAGTATACTGTGAGAGAGGTATTGACTTTTTTTTTCCTGAGTAGATAATATGATCAAGCATTCCATAGATATTTCCTTTCATCTAAAATTTTGAATCAGTGTTTATTTTTCTCTTTCCTTCTGTATATAAACAGAGGAAACTGAAACAATGAGTCCATTTTTACTTGTCCCCTGCTGTTTGCCACACGTCGACCTCTGCAGCAAGGCTAGTGGCTTCAGATGAAACTTTTTACTTTGTGGGAGCATCTCCTATCTCTAGGTTAGATAGTAGATAGATTGTTTTGTTATGAATAACCAAAGGTGTAAACACAGTCACAGCTTTTGGCCATTTTGTGTTTGTAGTATGTGTTTTTATTATCTTATTTCTCTTTTCTGCCAGTTTGCTCTCTTCTTTTATGAAGAGAGCAAATTCATATAAGTTTGTAACCCCTTCCTTCAGTGATGAACAGTAAAGAATATAAAATCAGATTTATGGGATGCCTCCCACCCCTGGTGAACACACCCTAGACTTAATGTTGCATAGATTTTTGGGCGGGGGGTTCGTAGGGGCATTGTTTCAGGGCAGATATTTTAAGTATGCAGTCTGTAGTGGTGGTAGCAGTGGTCTTCAAAGCATTTTGTCTTTAACAGGAAAATTATGCTCCTCATTAGTGGTAGTACTAGCCAAGTGTTTCCTGGGCCTGTTAACCACCTTAATGACCAACAGAGCCAGAAGAACTTGGTTGTGGACAGGCAAACTGGTCAAGTCAGACATGGAACAGTCTCAACTGATGGCCAAGCTTGCTAACACATAGATTCATGCTTGCCCAGACTGGTGTATATTCAACCCACTACCCAGATAAAGCTACTCAGCAGGCTTTCATTGAATATATCCCAGGTGAAAGGAAATGGGGTGTCCCCACTTTGAAGCTTTTCTCCCATATTTTGCTTCTTAGGAGGTGTATGTGTTTGTAGTACTGCATTCACACTTTCTTGCTCGGCCTTCTTTATGCATTTACTTCTGAATGACTCACTAGGATTAAAGATACAGTTGATTGTATAAATACAAAAAAAGCTAACTGAATGGCAAGGTATTCCACATGAAACACTGGGCATTTCATAAGCATGCTAACCAACTGAATCAACTGTGCCATACTCATTTAGTCGAGTTTCTGTGGTTTTGAACACTTGTTACGTTCTAGGTGAGATTTTAATTCAAGCCAGCAGTAGCTTACCCATTTGGCCCTATCTTTTTCTGCCCAGTTCTAATTATGTTAATGTCCTTTGCTATCTGAGACACACTTCCTGAATAAGAAATGTATATTTGCACTTTAGGAATAAAGTTAGCAAAGAGGAAGATACTTTGTGGTGAAATTATTTTTTGTGTGCCATAGATATGCAAAGCCTAGAGAAGTTGTTGAAAGATGCCATTGTTTATGGTCAACCTCGGACACGAAGGCCCTGGAAGAAAATTCTAATCCTTGTGGAGGGAATATATAGGTAATCCTGCTTTATTATTCTTATGTCTGATTTGCCCCATGGAGTCATAGACGTTTTAAGCTGAAGGGGACACTAATCTAGACTCCTCTGGAACTAAGGAGACAGGGTTTCTGACTTGTTAAAATACCTGGCTCTTCTTTATTCTTTCCATCATGCTGTATGATCTCCAGATCTCCTTTCTATTTGGCTCCTTTATTTTTCCACTGTTTGTAGAGGGGGTTTATACATAGGGGCAAGAATTGGAATATGTTTTCTAATATGTCAGAACAAATTACACGCCATTTAATTTTAAGAAATATTTTATTTTGCTTACCTATTTGCAGCCCTTGCATTTATTCTATCTCCTAATGTTTTTTATTCTTTTCATGTAATTTTAATTACACATGCAGTGAGATGCAAAGTCTAATGTTGCCTATAATTACAAACTTTAGAAGAATCTACTGTGACCTCTATCCCTCTGTGGTGAATTAAGATCACTTGTATTCTGGTGTTTGTTTTAAAAGATCCAGTCTCCTTTCCTTTAGATATCTGCCCAGCCATGGCATTGTCTTTCTTTGCCAGTTTAAAATCACAGGTATGCTTCTTTTAAGGCTGGCTAATTTCCTTCACCATGTGCTGCTTTGTAGTTTAGCCTTTGGAGGGTAATCTTATTTTTTCTTGTTCCCAAATCTTGTTGTAACTCTGAATATGGAAAACTAGTGTAATGAACTCGGCATCTTGTTGATGTTCAATAAATATTAATCCTTTCTTTTTCCTTTGGGGGATAAAAAACCATTTCAGTCTATTAATGAACAAAGATTTATTAATAAGTGCTGGAAGAGAGTAGTGAGTTAATAACAGAACTGCCTTATAAAATATACTGGAAAAGTAAGTTAAGAGCTGTTACATGTTTTATGTAGAAGACTAATAATATAGATTGCAGCTTGGTTCCAATGGTATTGTTGAGACTGAATGAGAAGATTATGGAACACAAGTGTAATATATCCGGGGAAAATTTTTTTATTCTAAAGTTGTCTGGAAGTTCACCTGAGTTAGTATGAACCCAAGGAAATAAAGAATTGTTAAAACTGCTAAAAAAAAACCCCACAGGCAGAGTTGTCAGACCATTTAAAAGGCAGTAAACTTAAAAAATTAATAATAATAAAGTGTCCAACTCCTAATTTTTGAGAGTTAAGAAGTCTCTGGGTGTGTATTTTTTACCCTGTTTTGCCAGCATGGAGGGATCTATTGTTCGCCTTCCTGAAGTGATTGCCCTTAAGAAGAAATACAAGGCATACTTGTATCTAGATGAAGCTCACAGCATTGGGGCTCTGGGCCCTACAGGACGAGGTGTGGTGGATTACTTTGGCCTGGATCCTGAGGATGTGGACATTATGATGGGAACATTCACAAAGAGCTTTGGTGCTTCTGGAGGATACATCGGAGGCAAGAAGGTAAATGGGCCCTGAGAATCAAACAGTTAAGGTTCATAAAGGTACTGGCTACTAGATTTCCATTTGGTTACTCACATTTAGCAGATAGAGTCCCAAACTTGGATGTGGAGATCCTAAATTTGTTTGTGATTTAGGCGTATAATGCCAGCACACTTCACGCTTCAGCTGCCTGGTGAGTGACTCTGATAAGCTGGTTCTGTTCATTGTTTGTTGTTTTCTTATTCGTTCTAAACTACATCCTGGTCTGAGTACAGAATACCCTCTTGTATGAAAGAACACACAGTGGTGCTGCCTGTTTGCCATAGTCTTCTATTGGGTTTGAGTTGTGCTCACTATTTCAAACGTAGTGGGGATGTCATGGGAACCGGTGGGGGATAGAAGACCAGTTTCTTCCCCTGCCCTTGGATTCAGATGCATCTTGGGTGAGCATCAAGACAGGAAGAAAAAAGATTACTCTGCTAGCTCTGGTGTACTAACAAGGCATTGTATTTTCCAATTCAAAAATTACATAATGAACTCTGGGGTATTTGAGAATCAATGTAGCATGGTGGAAATGGTTCAACCATGGAGACAGAGCCCTAGGTTTGAGTATTTCCCAAACTTCATGAGACCTTGGGCAAAGTATTTAATCTTTCAGTTTCCTTATCAGGAAAACAGAGATAAATGTGCCTGGCTTATAAGATTGTAGTTAAGGTTTAAAAAATAATATATGTCCATGCTATAATGTAGAAATAACCTTGAAAGCCTTATGTTAAATTAAAGAAGTCAGTCACAAAAGGCTAAAGTATTTTTTTTTATATGATATATCCAGAATAGGCAAATCATAGAGACAGAAATAGATTAATGGTTGCCAGGGGCTCAGGAGATGGGGGAAGTGGAAAGTGACTGCTGATGGGTATGAGGTTTCTTTTTGAGGTAATGAAAATGTTCTAAAATTAGATAGTGATGAAAGTTGCACAGCTCTGTGAACATACTGAAAGCCACTAAATTATACAGTTTGAAAAAGTGAATACTATGGTATGTGAATTGTATATCAATAAAACTTATTTTAAAAAACTCTCCAGTATTAGGAAAAAAACCAATGTATGTCAAGTATTTGTACATAGTACATGGTAGGTGCTTAAATGTCCTTAAATAAATGTCCTTAAATTCCTCTTCAAAATTTGACGCTGGGAGTCTTAAAACATGGACTTTCTCTTAATAATTCATTGTCTTTTAGAGAAACCCCATTATCATTGGTTTTAGTCAAGTTCAATAGATACTTACTTCAATTTTTAAAAGGACCAGGCTCACTTTGGAGAATTGATTGGTTTTTGGTAAGATTTGTTGCTAAACAAAAGGATAGAAAAATAATACTCTGGGAGATCATTGAGGTACAGTGTATTTATGTTTTTTTGGTTTTGTACAATTTTTAGTATCTACACTGTTTTCTGGCGGCATTTTCTGTCTCCTGTTTCGGTTCTGGAGCATAAGCTTCTTTGTGTGCACATTTTATATAAAGACTTAGCGAAGTTAAAAGGTATCAGAGAATAGAGATATACAGCTGATTGTTTTGAAATTTTTGTGACTGACAGACAAGTTTGTTTTTTTTAATTCAGTGAGGTGGCTTTAGTGTCCTTATGAAAGACCCAATGAATTTCTGTTTAACTTTTGCCACATTTATATCATTTTATAAATCTCTGTTTATCTGGAGAGGACATTTAGTGTCTTTAAAATTGATATTAGAGACCTGTCTCTTATTCGGGAATGTAAGGATGGGCTTTGCAGGCATGGGATAAGATGCAAATGATATTTTCTGTAATACTTAGAAGTAAGTTGTATCTAAACAGCAATTCAAATGCTTTCTTGTTTAATTTAGCATTGCAGAGCTGTTTATAACATTAAATGGTATGTTCTCTAAGTTTAGAGGTCTTCTTTAAAGCTAGTTCTTCTGCCTTTCATACTGTGGCATGTTTGAAAAATGAAACAGAGAATTCCCTGGTGGTCCAGTGGTCAGGACTCCTCGCTTTCACTGCTGAGGGTGCAGGTTCAATCCCTGGTCTGGGAACTAAGATCCCACAAGCTGCGCAGCACAGCCAAAAAAACAAAACAAAACAAAGCCTAAGGATGTTGCCATGTGTCTGACCCAGTTGTTGCTGACAGTGTGCTTTGACTGTATTGGTTGATCTCGTGTCTCAGATAGATGTCCCTATTCCAGTGCTATTGAAGGGAGGAGGCTTCTGTCACCTGGGAGGAAGGCAATGACATTGCCAGTGAATTCACGCACTGCCTCTAATGACTCACTTCTGTGAACTCCGCAGGAGCTGATCGACTATCTGCGGACACATTCTCATAGTGCAGTGTACGCCACATCACTGTCACCACCTGTTGTGGAGCAGATCATCACTTCTATGAAGTGCATCATGGGGCAGGATGGCACCACCCTTGGTAAGTCTTTCTTTTCTTGGAAAATTTCCTGGGCTCAGTAAATACTTAGCAACCAAAAGTACTCTTTTTCTTGAGCTTTTTTCCTAAAAAGAGGAGTCAGGTATACTAATGGGCAGAGCTGGCAGGTATGTGAGGTCTTGGTTTCTAGGGACACTTTTCAGTGTGTTTACACACACCATGAGAACTAGCCTGGCTCGTTTCCTGTTGAATTTTCTTGTCTACAGATGGTGAGCCTTTAATCTCACTATCCTACGTATTCTCATATCTTAGGTGATAAGTCTTCAGGGTCTTTCTTGAATTGCATAATTTTATGTGAAGATGTAATTCACTGTGTAGCGATGTTTTGTTCCCATAGTATTTAAAAGCTGCTGTTTCCATGAATTAGTGTCCTTGATTTAATGCCTTTTAAAAGAGTTTCTAATTTAACATACAGTATATAATAAAGGTCATCCTGAATCTATTTATTCTGTCTTTGGTGGGATTTGTAGTCCAAACTAGATTCTCTGACTAAAACATACTCAAGTGAACCAACAGTGATGTTTGCTTTCTGATATTTGACTTTTATATCACTAGAGGGCAGTGTTGACTACAGAAAAGTTATAATAAAGGGGGAGCAATTGGGTTTGTTTGTTTTGTTTTTTCACTTTGAGAAGAATCTCCATTGTGAGTGTGAGATATATATTTGCTTTTTGCTTTTTTTTTTTTTTTTTTTTTTTTTTGCGGTACGCGGGCTTCTCACTGCTGTGGCCTCTCCCATTGCGGAGCACAGGCTCCGGACACGCTGGCCCAGCGGCCATGGCTCACGGGCCCAGCCGCTCCGTGGCATGTGGGATCTTCCCGGCCTGGGGCACGACCCCGTGTCCCCTGCATCGGCAGGCGGACTCTCAACCACTGCGCCACCAGGGAAGCCCTCTTTTTGCTTTTTTAATGCTTCTAAAATCACTTTTGCTCTAGTGAAATATTTCATGTTATCAGCCTTGAGCTCTCTACTCTTCAGCTGTATAATATTTTGTGGTAAGATTGATCTGGTTTGCATTGAAAAACAAGAAAAAAGTAGTATGTCTCATTTTCATTGATTTAAGCCTGTTTTCTTAAATCAGAATTTTCCCTTAATATTTTTTCTGATCTGTGGTACATGCATCCTTGTTATCTCTTGGAAGTATTGATCATTTTCAGTTTCATAAATTGATTCCTTGGGGAAGAATATAATTCATTAATGTCGTGAACACCACATGGAGCCTTGTGAGAAGCTCCCTGCTAACAAAGCTACAGTGTTATCTTCTCTCTCTCATATAAGGTATTACTAGAAATAGTATGCTTTGACCTGAGTGTACATATATGCTCATATATGTAAATGTATGTGTATCTATGCTCAGATATATATATGTATGTAGTTAGCACTTAGCTACTTATTTGCCGTAGGTGCATCAGCCTTGTTGATTCAGCACACAGATTTAGGTGACTGAAAAATGAATGGTAACAGCTCTCAAAGTTACCTTAGATAATTTCTTTGCCCTGTCCTAGAGCATGGATCCATGTGATGCGTGACCTCTGGATAAATGACTTATCTGTGCTAAATAATGAAATCTAGGCTCTACTGGTAGACAGAAAATGAAATATGGTAATTAGATATAGACTTTGGGTTAGCACTCATTTTCCAGTTTATCTATTGCCTCTCTAACCACCCCCTAAGCTTAGTGGTGTGAAACAACAGCCATCTTATTATGCTCACAGATTCTGCGGGTCAGGAATTCAGTCAGGGCACAGCAGGGATAGCTTCTCTTTGCTCCACAATGTCTGAGGCTTGAACTTGGAAGACCCAGGCAGCTGGGGAAGACTCTGATGGCTGGGGGCTGGGATCATCTGGAGGCTTCTTCACTTACACATCACCTGGGCTGGAGTGACTTGAAGGCTGGGCTCAGCTGAGGCTGTTGACCAGAGCACCTTCACGTGTCCTTTCCATGTGGCGTGGGCTCCTCACAGCATGGTGACCAGGTATCCAGATAGGACCCTGCAGAGAGCAAGCATTCCCAAAGAACCTGCTGAAACCCCATGACCTTCTGTGATCTGTTGTTAACAAGCAAGTCACCAAGGCCAGCCCAGATTGCAGGGCATAGGGAATCAGACTCCACCGCAAATGGGAGGCAGATCAAAGAATTTGTGGCCATTTTTAAAACTTGCCACTACCAGCCTTTAGATAATATATTTTAAAATTAGTCCCTAAAACTTTTAATTAGTGTGACATGCTGGTTATGTTGTTTCTCTCCCAGAATAGAGGATAATAGAAATCTAACCATTTCTCATAAAGCCTGCTACCTGATCCTATTTAAATTTGGCCTGATTTCTTTGAGATTTGAGTGTGTTAAGGCAATGCTTATTTTTATGGCATCTTTTTTTTTTTTTTTTTTTTTTTTTTTTTTTTTTTTGCGCTTTGCAGGCCTCTCCCTGTTGTGGCCTCTCCCGTAGCGGAGCACAGGCTCCGGACGCACAGGCTCAGTGGCCACGGCTCACGGGCCTAGCCGCTCTGCGGCATGTGGGGTCTTCCAGGACCAGGGCACGAACCCGTGTCCCCTGCATTGGCAGGCAGACTCTCAACCACTGCGCCACCAGGGAAGCCCTATGACATCATTTAATGCATCTTTTCATTGTCCTTGAAGAAAAAAAGGTGGAACCAGACAGTAGCCTTTTGACTGTGCCTTAAGGTGACCTTTAAAAAAGAGGTATCTGCAATTATCTGAGTGTGATTTTATAATAGAAGTCACCTACCTTAAGAGAAACTTAATTTCATATGTTCAGAACATTGAATTTCATTAATTCCACAAACATTGAGTATCTCACTACATGTTAGACTCTGTGAATCAGAATCCATAGGCAGTGGGCATCCAAGCAGATCATTTGAATGAGGTGTATACTTGGGGGTTACTGGGGCTGTAGAGGGTAGTGGGCTGTTGTATTAATCCCAGAGATTACTGTACCATAGAAAAATTGAAATTTTATTAATCATTCACCAAATATTTGAGTGTTTGCAGTGTGTAGTAGGTGCTGATTCATCAAAGAATAAAATACCCCCAAATTCCTGCCTTGCGGGGTTTCTAATAAGGGAAATAAATTATACAGTTGCTAGAAAGTGGTAAGTACTCTGGGAAAAAGCAGGAAAGGTAGGTGTTGAGGAGTTCTGGAGACACAGTTTGTAATTCTAAATAGGGTGGTCATTGAGAAGGTAAGATTTTATGGAGCACTTGAGCGAGGTGGGAATTTAACCCTGAAAATCCAGGGCTAGAAGGCCCCGAGATGTAGGTGACTCCATGTTCAGCAATAGTATGAAGGCCACTGTGGCAGGAGCATAATAGTATAGGTAGAGTGCCTGAGGGTGAGTGAGTGAGGTGAGGACAGCGGGGAGACTCTTGTCCTGCAGAGGTGTTAGGTTGATATGAAAACACAGACACACTGGTTCTCCTGCCTTGTCTAGTATCAAACTCAAATTCTTGAATAGTTTCTGTGGGCTTTTTAATATTGGCAGGTTTGTGGCCCGTTTCAGATAGGTTAAGAATTTTACTGCCCCTTCAGATTTCATGAAAAGTACAGAATATAATATACCTATGATTATATTTTGAAGAAATTTGTCTAGAAAGAGTCAGATTTGCCTAAGACCTATACCAGTGGTTTTCCTTTCAGTGAATTTCAGTAGCACTGTGAGTTGGGAATGGGGGAAGCAAAGTGTAACCCATATATGAACAGAAGAGACTGTTACATGATAATACTGATATTGCAAATGGAAGAACTCTTGCTTTACTTTGTGGTAAATATCTCACATATGATTTCTATTTAGGAATGAGAGGGGAAAAGATCATGTAATGTTAGAGTTTGATCCTAGATTTAATGTTGGTTTAAGGGAATATTAAAAGTAAGAAGCTGGTTTTCTTGTCATGTCCCTACTATTATTCTCTGACTTTTGTTACAAGGCATACAAATATTAAGCATTATTTGAAAAAGCTCATTTTTGACATAACGTCTTCTCCTTCTTGTAAGACATAATAGTTTTATATATTGCATGTTTTTAATTTCTCTGTTGTGTAAACTTATTTCATCATAAACAGTCCTTCCTGTGGGGCCACTCCAGAAGCTTTTCTCACCAAACAGGATGCCGACCCAATGGAATTCCCTTGCAGATGGGACTAAAGACAGCATAGAGTCTTTAGTCTTTAGTCTTTATTTTTTCCTCCCGTTTCAGTTTCAAATAATTCAAAGAATTATAGGACTAGAGGCTTTAAATAAGCTACAGTTAGCACAGCATTTATATAATTTATTTTTATACAACCAGTTCTTTTTAGTTATCTCTTTTATACATATTAGTGTATACATGTCAATCCCAATCTCCCAATTCATCCCACCACCCCATCACCCCCCCGCCACTTACCCCCTTGGTGTCCATATGTTTGTTCTCTACATCTGTGTCTCCATTTCTGCCTTGCAAACCAGTTCATCTGTACCATTTTTCTAAATTCCACATATATGTATTAATATACGATATTAGTTTTTTCTCTTTCTAACTTACTTCACTCTGTATGACGGTCTCTAAGTCCATCCATGTCTCTACAAATGACCCAATTTTGTTCCTTTTTATGGCTGAGTAATATTCCATTGTGTATATGTACCACATCTTCTTTATCCATTCATCTGTCGATGGGCAGTTGCACCCATGACCTGGCTATTGTAAATAGTGCTGCAATGAACAGTGGGGTGCATGTGTCTTTTTGAATTATGGCTTTCTCTAGGTATATGCCCAGTAGTGGGATTGCTGGGTCATATGGTAATTCTATTTTTCGTTTTTTAAGCAACCTCCATACTGTTCTCCATAGTGGCTGTATCAATTTACATTCCCACCAACATTGCAAGAGAGTTTTTCTTTTCTCCACACCCTCTCCAGCGTTTGTTGTTTGTAGATTTTCTGATGATGCCCATTCTGACCAGTGTGAGGTGATACCTAATTGTAGTTTTGA